ATAAATCCACTCCACCGGTAAAAGATACCGTGGAGAAAAACTCCAAGCAAAGCTCTAAATATACCGGCTCTTGTATGCGGAAGACCCGGCTCCACCCATCACATATCATTGACTCGCCGTCATGTTGAAACTCCTTTAAAAGGTACGGAGCTAATTCTTCTTCATATCGCACATTTTGCAACCATTCCCAATCAATTCTGTTCGGTACATAGACCTCCTTCTTTTTGATATCGGAAAGCTTCTTCTTCCACTTCCGCATTGTTGAAGCGGATTCGATTTGTGGGAAATTTAACCATGGAAATTCCCCTTGGCTACCACTTGAAGATTGTCCTCTTCTAAACATGATTCCTTTGAGTTTAAACCTTGAGAATTTGGAAGAAAAGTTGAAGAACACTTGAATGTTTGAGAGAGAGTTGTAGAGAGAGGAACCCGGCGAGTGTGGTGTGGAAACTGAATTTTTAGGGTTAAAACCCTATTAGATGTAAAAGTAATTTCGAAAATGTTTATTTTTTTTCTGTAAATAAAATCGACTCGTCGAGTCAGGGTCAGACTCGGCGAGTCCAATCGCGCAGATTTTTTTTCTGAAATCAGTATATACTCGTCGAGTCCGGGTCAGACTCGGCGAGTCTCTTGTAAAACATTACTAATTTTTAAAATTTTGTTATTTATTTAAAATCTTTTCACCCCACTCTTAAGCTAGGCGCTCCCTTAAGCAGACAAGTCCGATGATTTGGAAGATTAAAATTAAAACACAAAACAAAAATAAAGAGTAAAAGAAAGCAAACTCTAACAAACGGGTTGCCTCCCGCCAAGCGCTTCTTTTTGCGGAGTCATTAGCTAGACTCCTTCCCATTTACGTTTTGTCATCTTCAAGCATCGGGAATGTACGCCTCACTTTTTGTGGTTTATACTTAGTCTTGTAGGCGTGAATCTTCTTCTTGTAAGCCCTCTTTAATTCGTCTCTTCTTTTTTTTCTCTGTATCATCCTCAGCTGGTTGGGCCTCTCTTTTCCTCTTCTTCTTTTTCAACCCATGCTTTTTCACCAACTTTTGAACCTCCTTTTCTTTAAATTTGATAACTTCATATTTCATAGCGGTCCGTGCTCTAGGTTTAGTAGTGAATTGGTGATCAGCTCCCGCTCTGCTTCCATTTATGTCCTCATCCTCTTTTGTGCTCGACTCTTCTCCAAATGGCATCGTATCAAGGCATGCCACATCGGCGTGTTGGACCTCCATTCCTTTTACTTCTTCTTGCTTGACCTCTGGATTAGCTTTAAACATCACCGACTCATCACCCACTCTTAATGTCAAAGTAGACTCACATATGTCAATTAGGGCACCTGCGGTGTTTAAGAATGTTCTTCCCAAAACAATTGGTATTTCTGGGTCTTCTTTCATCTCCACCACCACGAAGTCTACTGGGAAGATAAACTTGTCCACCTTGATAAGGAGATTTTCACATATGCCTTGTGGGTGAATTATTGTTTTATTTGCCAAATGGATTCTCATAGTTACCGGCTTTGGTGCTGGTAAATTCAGCTTCTTAAAGAATGAATAGGGCATCAAATTAATACTTGCCCCTGAATCAGCCAATGCTTGTGTAGAAACTTCATTACCAAATTGGCACGGAATTACTATGTTACCCGGATCACCCTTCTTCTCAGGCAGCTCACTCATTAATATCTCCGCGACTTCAGCAAGATCTTTCCTAGAAGCAAACAAGCCTTTAAGCAAGTTAAAATATTTAGGAGTTTGGAGCATTGTGTCCAAGAATGGCATATTGACTTGTAAAGCTTTAACATGCTCCATGAAGGTTCTATAGGCTTGAACTTTTTCTGACGGCATGGCTCTGGATGGGTATGGCAAAGGAGGATTGTATGGCTTCAGAAAAATGGCATTTTCTTCATTCCCGACTGGACTCGTCGAGTCCATTTTGGTGACTCGGCGAGTCTGATCGAGTTTTTCTTGTTCTGATTTTTCTTCCTTTTCTGCCTTCTCCTTGGAAACTCTTAGTGTTTCTGCCAATTCTTCTTCACCGCTGGAGGTTATTACGCTCACGTTCTCGTTTCTTGGATTGGGTTGGGTGTCGCTTGGAAGTTGGCCCGGTCTTCTTTCGTTTACTTGATGTGCAAGTTGGCCCAGCTGTTTCTCTATGTTAAGAATAGAAGCTTGCTGATTCCTCAACATATTTCTGGTTTCTTGCATTGCTACATCATGATCATTATGTCTTTTCTCGGATGCGGTTATGAATTTTGTAAGTAATTCTTCTAAATTCGTCTTCTTGTCCATCACCGGTTCTTCCTTTTGATAATATCCCCTCTCCCTCTGTTTATATTTCTCTTCCTTAGCCTTTCTGTACTCTTCGTATGGGAGCCATTCCTTCTTCGGTTTCCTCCAGTCTTCATCGTATCTATCGCCGCTGGAGTAGAATACTTGAGCCTTTTTATTTCCATTCTCGTCTCGATCACATTCCTTGGTAAGATGGGGACCGCCACAATTTTCACATCCAACTCTAATAGCATGGATCGTTTGATCCATTTTTGTCATTCTTCGGTCTAGGCTATCGAGTTTAGCTATCACCGCCGCCATACCATCGTTTACCGAATTTACTACTCCTCGACTCACTTCATTCCTCGGGTTGTGATATTCTCTAGAGTGCCTGGAGAATTCTTCAATTAACTCCTTTATTTCCGGAGGTGGCTTTCGGGTGAGTGGGCCTTGTGAATCGAGTAGTTGCCTCGTGGTGACATTTACTCCATCATAAAAGATAGAGACCTCTTGTTGGCTATTGAGATCGTGGTGGGGGCAATTTCGAAGTAGGCTCTTGTATCTTTCCCAAGCTTCATAAAGGGATTCACCGGGTTGTTGCTCGAAGTTGGCAATGGCTTTCTTTAGCTTGGCTATCTTGGAAGGTGGGCAGAAGTGATCTATGAACTCTTCTTTCATTTTGGCCCATGTGGTAACTGATCCGGGAGGGAGTGACTTCAACCAATCCTTTGCAGCTCCTTTAAATGTGACAGGAAGCATGCGTAGTAGCTGGATCTCGCGGGGCACATTAGGTACATTGAAGTAATCCGCCACATCATTCACTTCATCTAAGTGTTTATAGGCGTCTTCATGATCTCTCCCGTGAAAGGGTATCTCCTTGAGTTGAGCGAGAATATGGCCCTTTAGTTCAAACGTAGCGGTAGCGGGGATTGCGGGTTGCACAAGTCCCGGGCCGGTGTCATCACGCATCCTTTTCTTCCACTCCCCCATGGGGATTTCGTCAATATTAGCCATAGCGGTGGCTAAGTCTTCTTCAAACTCGGATGTGTGCTCGCTTTCTTCTTCGGTCTCGTAATCGGTGTCTTTTGGGATCGATCTTCGGTTGTCAACGACGCACTGGATGCTCCTGCTTTGCTGCTCCTTTTCTTGCTAAAAACGGATTTGAGGTTTTTGAGTGGTGAGTTCTTTGAAGAAGCGGTTTCTCCAACGGTTTTGCCCTTGTTTCTTCTTAATGTGGTTTCCGGATCTTCAAGAGGGGGAACTAGAGGCGTAGCAGATCCTCGGGTCATGAACCAACTGCAAACTAAAACAAAACAAAACGCGTAAAAAAGAACAAAAATTAAATCTGATTCAGCGTCAGCTCGCCGAGTCGGGGCGAATGCACTCGGCGAGTTCAAGTTAAAATCAGCGATTAAATTTTTTTTTTTTTTTTAACTAAAACTTAAACAAAAAATGAACAGAAATTAACTTTGTGTAAGATGAATCTTACACAAAGGATCGATTGAATTAGAATTTTAATGCTAATTTTAGAACCGTTCCCCGGCAACGGCGCCAAAAACTTGATGTGTGTAAAACTCACTTAGTTTTAATCCTACTTTAATTATCAAATAACACACAAAAGGCAGTGAACCTATCAATTGTGGTATAGCTAAATAAGCAGGGTATCGAACACAGGGAACGGCAAATTAAATTAAAAACTAATTCTATCTAAGTTGATTAAGCAAATAAGGGTTTTTTTCTCTAGTTTTACAAGACTAGAAACTTACTAACTAAAACTAATGCAAGACTAGAAAAGAACAAATTAACTAGATTCAATAATGGGAAAGAAACTTCTGTTTAGTTCAACTCGGTTAACTTTATGGTTGATTTTAAGGTAATAGTGCAATGGATTAATTCTTTCGTTGGTTACCGATTCAAGTGATTAAGTTTGTGTTCACTACCCTAATCCTTAGCAAATAAACTAATTCAAACAGTGGCCAATTGCTTAATTTAATTATATTTACTAGATTAATTATTCGGGTTAAGTTAGACTTGCAATAGCTAATTAATTCGTTATTCTTAATTAACCTCTTGTTCGATGGTCATCTTACAAGCTTGCACATGAGTTTACTCAATTTCCTTATTAATCCTAGTTTCATATTCATTAATCCTAGACATATGATATAGTGGTCACATATCATATGAGGTTGATAATCAATAGATGTTCATGCTAATCAATTATCTTCCTATTAACAGAAAATAATTATCATTCATACACAAGGTTCTTTAGCAAGCTAAAATAACAATTAATCACCAACTTGGAATTAATCCTACCAATCAATCAAACCATATTGTCAACTTTGTATCCCAAACAGAAGTCTAAAGAAATTAGTTCATAACTAAGGTAAATAACAGCAAACAAATAAGTTCAAGTTGCTTAATCATGTTGACAAAACAAAAGAATTAAGTAGAATGGTGAAATTACGCCTTAATTACTCCCGGAATTGGATTCTAGCTTCTTTGGTCGACTTCTAGGGTTCTTCTGGCTTCTTATTCGCAGCTAAGCACTTCTGAAACTTCCCAGAATTCTCTCTTCTCGCATTGTAGAGTTATCTTTATATATGCGTTCCGACTCGTCGAGTCCCTCTCACAATAGTCGTAATCCGATAACTATCTTGACTTCCGAATGCTTATCTTTCTGAATCCGCGACCGGACTCGTCGAGTCAAGGGGCAACTCGACGAGTAGAAGCCTTTTATGGGTGTTTTCTTTCTTCTTTCCACTCTTGAGCTCCTAACCGCTTCTCTTGCTTCCTTTCGCTTCCGAGCTTCATCTTTGGACTGAAAAACATAATTTAACACTTTTAAGTACCTTTTGTCCATAATATGCAACAATTTAGCTAATATATGAATAAATACTACACTTAATACACACTAAATATGCACATATCACACCTATACATCCATCATTTACTTGCTTAAGCTCGATCGACCAACCATGCTCACCAAAAACAAATAGTAACGGGAACTGCAACGCCATATACAAAGGATGCAACTTATTTATTCTTCGAGGCCGCCCATCTCTCATGCGGATTAGTATGTCAAAATCATTTTTACATGTAGGCCCGCTGTCATAAACAATTCCGCCTAGCACACCCAGAGTAGGAGCATTATAGTGCATTTGGTTTCCACTATTATATAACCTGACCATGAACTCTTGAGGTTGTTCGTGAAAACATATATCTCTAGTTGTTCTGAATAGCTTGACTAAATCATTGATTTTGTCTAAAATGTCAATCAAAGTCTTGACAATTTCTGGTTTAAGATCGCCAAATTCAGAGCCACTAAAATGATGAAGTCTGTTGCAAACTTCATTATTAGTATCATAGATATACATTTTCAAGAACCTTGGATTACCATCAGTTGGTGGACACAAAGATCCCATCCAATGAGAAATCTGCCCTTCTACCTTGAATACATAAGGCCCTGACCAATTATTAACTGAATCATCCACTTTTGCCCCGAATGAAGTCATGGCGAACATCATGTTATAAGCACGGATGTTTTCCATAAAGTGCTTATCTTTAAAGAGTTCTTTAATTATCTTTGGAGGCTGCCTTGGTAGCGGCAACATTACCCGACCGCCTTTGCAACAACGACTATATTTAGGTCTTTGATTTTCGGGAAGACCTTTCCGTCGTTTAGCATACCAGAAGCATGCATAGCAATGCTCACAGATTTGGTCACAATCACCCAAATCCAAATATGCAGTAGATGGACCTGGAAAACATGACAAACAACATAGTTAATAACATCTGAGTCATGCTTAAGCAGGTGGCGAACATATCATGCATACACATGAGAAACCCCATCAAGAAGAATGGCAGACGGATTTTTTTAGACATACCATTGATTCTGTTACTGTGACTATCACCTGAATTAAAAGATTGAGAATTATGAGGTTGTTGTGCATGAGGTGTTGAAATATGAGAGTCCTTGAATACCGAAAGTTTTGTACACATAAGCCTTTTTGACACACGATTTTTTGTAGATTTAGAACTCGATGGGCTATCAGAAAAAGCATGTGGGCTAGATTGTGGAGAAGAAACATAATTTTCAAGTGGATGTTCATCATTATGATTAAGCTTTTTCTTTTTTCGTTGCATATTGTTGTGAAACGAATCGGTGAAAGAAATAAGTTGGCTTTTAATATAATGGAAAATCATAACAATATAAGATAAAGGCATCAAGATATAGCAAAAACAAATCAGTTAGTAAAAAAAAAGGCCAATCAAAATAAGCGATGAAAACAACACATTATACATAGCACGGATTAGAGGGTACCTTTTTGAAATCCAAAGGTAGGAAATAGAACTAAAGCAACCGATAACAATATAAGGAACCTGAAACAATCATTTAATGGCTAAGAATGTAGACATGGGCAATAAATCATTTACATGTAACATAATAAAAATCAAATTTAACAATTGTTCAAACTTTGATGCTAATATTTCTTTTTGTTTACCAAAGGAAAAATGCATTATGGCAGAAAGCAAAGAAACAAAACTGGTATTTTTGTTTATTAAAGGAAAATTTGATTATATAAGTACACTTTCAATATGTTATTCAGGGAGAAAGAGAAATTAAGGCATTTAATTAATAATTGGGAACTGAGATTAATGAATCTGTGAAGAATAAACTAAAATGAGGAATTTTTACCTCTGTCTTGCTGTCTTGGGAGCTCCATTCAGATCAATATCATGCTTGCTTCTCTTATGACCCTGAAGTCGAAAGTTGATTGCAAGAATGGAACTGTGAAGATGAACAGATTGTGGTGATTGAAGGCCACAATAGTTTTTTTTACTAAATTTGTTTATTGCTGGTCTACTTTTACTTAAGCCCTAATTTATAGAATCAACATAATACCATGGGAACTTTAGCCCTAATTTCTGCTCATGGTTTTCTATCATACGAACATAAAATTCTGATACAGACTCAATAGAATAGCATGGAAACTTTAGCCCTAATTTATTCCCATGTTTTTTTTCTGTCATATGAGCACAGAATTTTGACATGGGAACATAGAAGGAAAGGAAAATGACCCAAAAAATCTTGAAGATGCTCAAAAGATGTCAAAGAAGAAAATACCTTATGATGGGTGAGGTGTGGCTGACAGCTATGAGGTCATAGAAATAGAGAGAGGAGATAGAGCAACCAATGCAGAGAACAGTTCCAGCAAGTGGCGCGCATGTGGAGGTAGATGTGATGATGGTGGTAATTGGCCTGAGATGTAGAAATTCAGAGAAGAGATTGAGCTATTCGTGCAGAGAATGGATCGAGCAAGTGGTGTGCAGGTAGAGGCAGGAGTTGCGGTATGACAATTGTGGTAATTGGTTTGAGACCGTGAACTGTATGAAGCAGCGTTTGACTCTTTGAAGCACAGTGTAATAACACTGTAGGTTGATGTGCTCTTACCTACAGTATAATAACATTTGAAAATGTTAATGTTTACAATGAGGTTGTATTTTAAGTTCTAAACAAAGTTTTCCGTTTTAAAACATACAAGATATGTGTTGTTTGTTAATATTCTGAAGATCTTTTTAGCTTTTTTTGTCTACGCTGCGCAGACCATGTACAGACATTAGGCTTCACAGACTGTTTTTTTTGTTAATGTACCTATTTGTTTATTTATCTATTTTAGTGTAGGTTACGTATTCATGTATAGTATATGGGTCCTTTGTGTATTTTATATATTATATCTTGTATAAATACTGATGAGTATACAATGCAATCCCTAAGGGGATTATTTCCACAAACATGGTATTAGGCTCTTACGATGTACGGTGCATGAAAGCCTAGCAATCACGTTTTTTTTTTTGTTTTTTGTTTTTTTGTTTTTTTTTTATGTGGATGATATCATTCTCACGGCTTCTAGCCCATCCCTCATCACGCAAGTCATTACTTGACTCTCGTCTGATTTTTGCTATGACGGACTTAGGTTCTTTGTCCCTTTTTCTCGACATTACAACTACTCGTTCTGCAGATAGTGTGTTCTTGTCTCAGACTGCCTTTGACAATGAGATTTTATCTCGAGTTGATATGACCTCCTGCAACTCGTGTAGTACTCCTACAGACTCCAAACCAAAACTATCTTCCGTGGGAAATCTGGTTTCTGGTTTCTGATCCGACCCTATATAGAAGTCTAGCCAGGGCACTTAAGTATCTGACGTTTACTTAACCAGATATTGCCTATGCATTTCAACAAATCTGTTTGTACATGCATGATCCATGTGAACCCCACTTCATAGCTCTTAAGCGTATCTTGTGTTATCTTCAGGGTACTCTTCATCATGGTCTGTTCATTCGTCCATCTCATGTCGATCATTTGGTTTTTTAATCTGATGTTGATTGGGCTGGCTGTCCCTCAACACATCGGTCCACCTCTGGGTTTTGCATTTATCTCGGTTATAATCTTATTTCTTGGTCTTCCAAATGTCAACATGTCGTCTCTCGGTCTAATGCCAAAGCTGAGTATCGGGGGTAGCTAATGTTGTTGATGAAACCGCTTGGCTCCGAAATATCCTTCTTGAACTTTCGTGCCCTCTAACTCGATCTATGGTTATGTTTTGTGACAATGTGAGTGTCATGTACTTAGCTTTTAACCCAGTTCAGCACCAAAGAACCAAACATGTGGAAAATGTACTTACATTTTTTTAAGGAACGCGTTGCCATTGGTTAGGTTCACGTGTTGCATGTTCCTTTGGCGTCTTATCAGTTTGCAGATATCTTCACCAAAAGGACTACATACACCTTTATTTTTGGATTTTCGTGACAGTTAAAACATTCGGGAACCCCCTGCTCAAATTGAGGGGGAGTGTTAATGTATCTATTTATTTATTTATCTATCTATTTTAGTGTAGGTTTCATATTCATGTATAGTATATGGGTCCTTTTGTATCTTATATATATTGTATCTTGTATAAGTGCCGATGAGAATACAGTGCAAACCCTAAGGGGGATTATTTCCACAAACAGTTTTTTTGAAGACCGCAGACCTTAAAAAGCGGTCTCTTATTGACTAGAATCTTCAAACCTCTTCAGACATCTTCTAGCCTTAAAAACACAACATATATCTATGTATTTTTTAACTTAGATTTATTCCAACTCTAACTTTGATAAACAATTTGGAAAAAAAAGTTATAATACTTAAACAAAAAATTTCGGCGACACAATCATAATCTGTGACAAATTTATAAATAAATATTTAATTATAATAATGTTCGTTA